AGGGCCGCCATGGTAGTCTGCCCTAACTACTATGGGGTTTCTAGGTTAGACGTAAAACGAATCAATCAATCAATCAATCAATCAATCAACACTACTACCCCCTCCTACCTTACTCTCCGCCCTTTTACCTTCTATTTTCTTCCCAGATTGACACGCCAGATTGACACGTTACAAGTAAGAAAGTAGCAAAATTCTTTGCATAGTCGTAGCCTGCATATCGCTTAGGGCGATGAGTTAGGGTAAATGAATTCAACTCAACTTAACTTAATCAGCCTCGCTGCTGTTCCACAGCATATATGAAGCTGGACCTTTTACCACCAGACTGCTTTAGGCACTAGCGGCATAAAGTCGAGCTTTAAAAATCTCTGGACCTTGTACTGCTGGCCACACTTTAGGATTAGTATGTCTGGCAATCTTGGCGCAAGCAAATATTGATAAGACGGGAAGAGCGGATAGCCTAGGGCGTCTAAGGTATAGCGTGTTATAACTCTGATATATGATACATGTAAGCTCGGTTTCAATTCAGTTGCTAGATTGAAAATTGTTCCTTTTAACCCATTTATAACCGAGTAAAACTAAGCTAAGTTTTAGTTCGTTATAGCCGAGTGCTCTTCCATGGTGTAGCATAATAATATAACTAATTTTAGATGTGCTTGTAGATTAAGTAGCATGGGAACAAGCTAAGGATGTAACGTCGTTTTTGTGGCTGCATATATGGTAATGTGTTTTACTTTCATTCGCCAGCCCTGCAGCCTGTGCAGACTATTAAGGCTGGTAGTGCTTAGCTGCATGCAGTAGTACACAGTATCAGCATGCATCCATAACTAGCCGCTGAACTTAGCATACAGCAAAGGGTTGTCTAGAAACACCCACGTTTCTAGAAAAGCGTTATAAGAAGTACAGACTTAAAGACTAAGTATATGCTTTTACACCTCCCGCTTAAAATATCACGAAAGGTTGAGGGCTGATTCGTAAGCGAGCGAGCCCTAATGCTAGGTTCTACTAGCGCCAAGAGCCAATGTTACCTTGCATCAACCGATCAAACGCAACGTCTTACAAAAACAGCATATCCCCGCTCCGATCATGTTGACAGAAGCGCTGATAGGTAATGCAACCTGCACAGCGAAAACAAGTGCTTCTTTCTTATGTTAAAGCTGGGAAGCTCAACCGACAAGCCTTTTTTCTTTTTTTTTTTTTTTAGGTATCGAGCTTCTTCACTCTTTTTCTCGCGCTAAAACCAGTTTGTATGGCATGCGACAGTGTTCGGAACTACAGCCTAACAGCAGTAAGGGACTGCATCGTGGACGTGTACCTTGGGCTATGTAGTTTCTAAATAATAGTGGCCTAAGCAACTTTAAACAAATTTAATTGTTGGCCGGGGCGGGACGGCCCATGGCGGCCCAAGCGTAGCCTTCAGCCCCCAACCTGACGCATCATGTATTGTAGTGAGCTAGAACCCCAGTCGGCCAAGGTAGTAAGCGCTAGTGACACCTCGCTTCTATTCTCTTCGCTGTAGGGGCTGTGCCATAACACCTCCATCATCACGCAAACCGTTTGTGCCATCTTTCGTTTCCACATCCTCTATTGCGACCGTGTGGCCGGAGAGGGTGTTGGCCATCCTCCCAACCAATGGTAGCAACATCCAAGCTATCCTCCTTCTTATTCGATATCTTTGAAGAGTACAACTGCTCGTTGTCAACGCACAGCCTGTATCCGTTATTGTTTGCAGCTCGTAGCTTCCAGATCTCCTAAACACAGAAGCACAGCTCTATCGCCTTCTAAACCTCGAATACCGACGTCTGCTACCTAGTGATTGCACTATGGGGGTTTGCAAATGGATCAAAGCCAAATGGGGCAGAAAAAAGCCGCCCGCACCTCGGGACGGGCTCTCCACACCACCATGTCCCAGCGACGCGAACACGGCGAATCCCGCGGTAGTCGAAGTATCATCGACGTCTCCCAGCAAAGCAAGCACAACAAACGCGGTGATGGTCTCGTCAGTTAAAGCCTCTTCTGCACCACATACACTGGTTGCACCTAGTCATGCAGCTTCTTCATCCAACTTACGAGAGCGACTATGGAACAAGGCGTACGATCAGGCAAGAATTGAAGACCCCGATACCGTTAATGGTTACGAGATGATTCTGTCCGCTCAACTCCACCAAGAAGACCCCGACTTTTT